ATTGACGTCATATTTATAGGGATGAGGCTCAATACGGTCTCTGGGGGTCAATACGGTCCGTATTGAAGTTTTGAACTACAATACGGCCGTATTGAATTCAATACGGCCGTATTGAAGTTCAAAAAACCTCAATACGGCCGTATTGAAGTTCAGTGCAGCCGTATTGAAGTTCAGTGCAGCCGTATTGAATTCAATGCAGCCGTATTGAAGTTCAGAAACTTCAATACGGCCGTATTGAGTTCAGTGCGGCCGTATTGAAGTTCAAAATGTTCAATACGGCCGTACTGAACCTCTGGGAGGCCGTATTGGGCTTCATTCCTCCCACTTTTCTTATTTTAGCTATCCTAAGACCTCTAGACCTATAGAGAACCCTCCTTGGGCCTTCTGGAAGTCTTTCTGGCTGATCTTCCTTCAGTCTTCGAGAGTCTTCAAGCTTTATTTCCGACCCGGACAATTTTAGGGGTCTACAGTGTAGAAAAAAAAAGCTCTATCAAACCCACACAGCTTTGCTCTGTGGCCCCAGCTAGATCTTCAAAAAAAGGTCGTTTACTATTTCTTTCTTATTTTTGAAGTTTTATTTCACTATTTTTCCAACTTTTTTTAATTTTTTTAAAATACTTAGGTTTTGAATTTTGTTCTCAACTTTTTTGTGGTAGTGTATTTTGTTTTAAGGATGATGTTGGTGCATTAGTTTTAATGGTTTCCAAATTTGCATGAAAATTCTAATGATTTTTGTGGTTATTTTTACTGTTCACGGTTACTATTCATGCATGTGTTTCAGGTAGTGCATGACCAGGAGCAACCCTGATTTTTTACATCCATTTGATCCTGAGATTGATAGGACATTCCATAGATTAATTAGAGAGCATATCATTCCATCTTTAGATAGTTTTAGTCATAGCCATAGTGATAGTGTTAGTGATAGTCTTAGTGTAAGTGTTACATCTGAACTTGATTCAAGTCAACCACAAAACATGGGTGACCAACCTGGACCTCGAGAGAGAACACTTAGGGAGATGGCTGCACCTGATTTCACATATGAGAGTCTATGCATTCAATATCCTAAGGAAGATATTCCTTTTGTGCTTAAAACTGGACTGATCCATTTGTTGCCTAAGTTTCATGGTCGTGCAGGTGAGGATCCACACAAGCATCTCAAGGAGTTCCACATAGTTTGTTCCACCATGAGGCCACATAATGTCCCTGAAGATCACATCTACCTGAAAGCATTCCCTTTTTCATTGGAGGATCTTGCCGAGGACTGGTTGTACTATCTGACTCCTGGTTCAATAACAAGCTGGGATGACTTAAAGAGAGTGTTCCTCGAAAAAATTTTCCCTGCATCCAGGACCACTTCAATCCGGAAGGACATATCTGGGATTAGGCATTGTTGAACGCAGTTGAAGAAGAGATGTCTCTGCTCGACCCCGCTACTCTCCCACCATGACTTAGGGAGCTTTCTTTCCTCCTCTCCTTCTTTACTTTGATTGCACTTGTCCAGATTTATTGATTGTTCTGATTGCTCTGATCTTCTGTTTGGGCCACATTGGGACAATGTGTGATTTAAGTATGGGGGGAACTGTTTTGGTTACATGCTTTTAGGGTTTAATTGTTATTTTAGGTTTTATGTTTAGGTGTTCTGTGCAGTTTTGCATGTTTCTCTTTGATTTCTGGGTTCTGATAGTTTGTAGGCACTTACTTCATTCTTGGATAGGAGTTTCTTGATACTATATGGTTTGAAATCCCTGTTTTTCTCTGCTTGGAAAGATGATTATGAGGTTTGAGAGGTTGTTTTAATTGTGACAGATATACCCTGTGTGAGGATTTGAGCCACTCTCTGTTCTTTCTTGTGTGTTATGCCTCTTGATTGCTTGCACAGTTGCCTTGTCTTGACTCTGTTTGATACTTCTTGATTCACATGCATGTTTGGATATGATTAAGGCATTTTTGTTCTGATAAGCCTCTGGCCAAATAAGCCTACCTTGAATTAACTCCTCTGATAACCCCTGCTGAGCCTATTTCCCCTTTTTTGTTTGAAGCTCATTACAAGCCTTAACCGAAAAACCATGATTACCTTAACCTTAGGGAGTTTTGGAGCTTTGGAATTGTTTTGGGAATAAGTTCTTGAATAAGTGTGGGGGTGTGTGTATGTTTCATTGGATGATGTATATTGGCTAGTTGATTCCTTATGCTGTACACTTTACTTCTCTACATGTTATTTTATCTCATTTCAAATTTTCGTGTGTACTGTTCACTACGTACTGTTCATTCAAAAAAAAAAAAACATTCAAAAAAAAATGAAAAAAGAAAAGTTGTTTGAGGCAAGAAAAAGAGGATTGATCATCATAGAGGTCATTAGAGGTTTCTGGGTTTGTTTCTTGTGCGTATTCTTGACTTATTCCCCATTGCTCCTCTAGTTCCTCTGGTTTGCAGTTACTTATCCCCTATATTATCCTCTACCCCTTCCTCGGCCTCATTACAACCCTGAAAAGACCTTTTGATCCTTATGTGCATGTTTGTTGGATGTTGATTTTAGAGGCTTGCCAAGTCTATCTGTTGCTTGTTTTCATGATTGTTTTGCCATGTTTTGAAATGCTTGGATGATTTCGATAAGTATCTGGTTTCTCTGACTCTTTGCGTGTTGGATGTTGTCTACTCCTTTTCTTTTCCTAGGATTCATTGAGGATTGTGTAAATCTGTTTGTATTCTTGTCTCTGTTTCCTCCTGTTGTGTCACTCTCTTTGCTGTCTTTGGAATTATTCCTTGCTCTGCTTTTTGATTTTGCCCAGGAGTGCAAAAGGCTAAGTGTGGGGGAATTTGATGAGTCATTATTTTCCCCTATTTTCTTACCTTTCTATACTTATTTTAATCTCTGATTTACGCTTAATTGTTGATTATCTGCACTGTTTTCTATTTGGGCTTTAATTGGACTAGTAATTCATATTTTAACTAATTTGAATTTTCTGAATCTAATTATTCCAAATTTTTATTTTCAGGGCAGTTTAATAATTATCTGGGCTTGGAATTAATTTATGGACTTCAAGTGGAGTTGCCACGTCATCTGCCACATCATCTACCATGTCACCACTGCACCATTTTCCACCTCAGCATTTAATTTCATTTTTTGTATTCTGTTTTATTGTAATTTTCAGGTCAAACCTGACTTGGGGCCCATTTTGACTCTTGTAGGTTTTATTTTAGGGTTTTAGGGCAGCCACTAGGGATATTGTGATGTGACTACGTAGCTGATTCCTTCTCTTTGTTTTTCCTTACGTTTTTCTCTCTGTAGCTGCCATATTTCGTTTTAATCTCTTTAGTTGAGTTTTTCGTTTTACTCTCTTCCTCTCTTATATGCATTTTGTATCTGAACTGAACCCTTACATTTGAAATACAGATTACTCATTTTCGTTTTCCTTCTCTTCCATTTTCGTTTTCCTTCTCTGCCATTTTCGTTTCTGTATTTTAATGGAAGGCTAAAAACCCCTAGGTTGGCTTCTTGTTGTGGATTGTAATCTCTGTTTGAGGTTGGGTATGTGTGTTCATCTCTGTTATGCTTTGTTCTTCTCCATTTAACCTCTGTATAAATGCCACAGTTGCTTAATCTGTGAAGAGGAGGTTGGTGTTGTATACGTTTGTTTAATTCGTGTAGGGAAATCTTGAGTTAATCTTCGCTTAGTTGGTTAACTCAGATGGAACAAGGATTAAGTGGTTAATAGAGTAATCTTTTGAGA